CTATAATTTTTGTGTGGTGCTCTGGTGCCTTTCAAGTCTAGTCCTGTTTAATCTCCAGCACGGGAGATAAAATTAAGCTCTTATTGGAAGTTAACAGGCTAGGCGATGAAGTATTTTTGTTGATCATTTGGTAGTTTGGATGTCTGAGCTTTGATAACTGTATATTGTAGACATCTTTTTCACTAAATTCAATTTTAACATAGTGTAGCAAAAGATTTATTAACTGAGAGGTCTTAATGGCCTTTTATTTCACATAGCAAGGCCACCTCCTGTTGGCATCAGCAGGACCTCAAATACTGTATGATGAAAAATCTAGGGTGATCAAATGAAGCCCAACCTGGTTGTGTTTGGGTTATCGCTATAACCCACCCAAACTTGCCAATACTCCTAGTTGAGACCCGATGCTGAAGAGTGATTCTGTGCTAACATCTTTTTGAAAAACATGAAGCGTTTGAAGTTCTGAGATCTGATTGTCTGCGTTATTGCTTGTACTAAATTTCAAATTATTATTCTTTGGTGAAGCTTAAAGGGTCCAGACAGATAGTCCTGGCTTTTTTTCATTTTCTTATTTTTTTAATAAATATAAATAAAATGCTGCTGGTAAGGCAGAATTGGAGCTCCTATAATGTTCTTTTTTATGAAGAAAATTTCTCACCTTCTTTATGCAAGTTGAATGAGCTAATCTAGTTGTATAAACCTATGTAAGAGTAGGTTCTTGCATAGATGGTAGTTTTTTTGGACGGGTTCTTGACTTCAATGTATTGCTTCATAAGTTGATTCCTACATCTGATTAGTCCTTCAAATTTATTGTTTTTGTAATTGCTTGTTTATGCTTCAGGACAATGGCCTTGTTCCCATTGTGGAACCAGAAATCCTTCTTGATGGTGACCACCCAATCGAGAGGACTCTGGAAGTTGCTGAGCGGGTGTGGGCTGAAGTCTTTTATTACTTGGCTCAGAACAATGTTGTTTTTGAAGGAATCCTTCTAAAGCCAAGCATGGTTACCCCAGGAGCTGAGCACAAAGAAAAGGATTCTCCAGAATCCATTGCAAAGCATACACTTCAAATGCTTAGGAGGAGAGTGCCTCCTGCTGTTCCTGGAATCATGGTATGCTGCTTTTAAACTTTCTTTCATTTTAATTCTGTAAATCAGCATAGGTTTTGTTGCTAACAGACGTGACCGTTGTGGAGAAAAATTGAGGACTGGGAAGGTGGGAATAAAAATGAATAATTATATACATACAAGGAACATGAACTAAATCAATCATTTGACGCTTCTTTAATATGAGTATCGGTGTGCCTATGCAAATGATGAAACCCAGGCATACAACTGAAATGACTCCCCCAGTAAACTAAGGGACCAGGGACCAGACAAAGGGACCAGAGAGGTGCCTGTATCATACTTTGTATATTGGAAGAAGAAAGGAGACTATAGTCTCTAATTTTTTATAGCAATCAAGAAAAGGATATAATCTGAGGGTGGGGAAGAGAAGATCCATGGAAAATCCTAGATCCCAATTATGTAGTTTTCCTCATTTCGTGCACTCAATTCTAGCTTTGGGACTTTTCAAATGAACTATCTGTGTCTAATCCTATGACTTTTTGATATTGTGGCTGAGGGTTGACTTATTTTCTAAATTAGCTTGGTGTTGCTGCTTTATGAGCTCTGCCTTGACTTACCCTTTGCTTTCCCATTAATTAATTTGTTCATGGTATTTATCTGAACGTGGCTTAGCGTATTGGTCCATGTTCCTTTTTACCCTTTCTTTCTCCCTCAATCTCCAGCTGATCTAGTTAGGTTTCAGGTAAAAGGGGTAAAATTAAGTAGGGGCAGTGAAAGTTTGGCAAGGCACCCTCTTGTAAGGGTTAGAAAATCGATTATTATAAGGACTAAAAAATTGATCATTATTGTCTATTGATTCCTTGATTGTGATTATTTTTGTCAACTTGACGTACAAAGAGGTCTAATATCATTTTTTCCGTTTGTATTAGTTCTTGTCTGGAGGTCAATCAGAAGTGGAAGCAACCTTAAACCTTAACGCAATGAACCAAAGCCCCAACCCATGGCACGTCTCTTTCTCATATGCTCGTGCACTACAGAACAGTGTACTTAAGACATGGCAAGGACGTCCAGAGAACGCAGAAGCTGCCCAAAAAGCTCTTTTGGTGCGTGCCAAGGCAAATTCCCTTGCTCAGCTTGGGAGGTACTCTGCCGAAGGGGAGGATGAAGAAGCCAAGAAGGGTATGTTTGTCAAGGGCTACACCTACTAAGGATAGTGTTTAGAGCTATCTATAAGTTACCATTGTTAGAGGTGTATTTCATTTTCTCCTCACTAATTACTTGATGTGATCGTCAAGACTCAAGAGCAAGAGAATTGTTTGAATTAGACCGTCACTTGCATTTCCCCTCGTATTGTTGTATGGAAGTATAGAGGTGTTTGAATGTCTGCTTGTTATCGCCTCTGTATTGGCATGAGAATAGGTAATGGATAAATCGGGAATAGTGAGGTTTTTATTCCCTACCTCTAATTATTTTCTTACTAACTAAACAAGTAAGAGATTTTGCATTTCCGACTCTTAAATCATTTTTTTGGTTCAAGTTAAAGAACAAATTAATAATCACTTTATCTTTTGCTATATCTTTTTGCTATATTATTAAAATAAAGGAAATTTCAATCCAAACAATTGCACATGTATTCTTGACAAAATTATCTGCTGATGGGCCTTTTTAGGTACAGTTATGTAAACTGGAAAGCTTAAAATAAATCAAATTTCACTTATAACTTATAAGTTTACTAATCAATACAACACTACATCATCCTATCTCCTTGTCGATTAACTCCAAAAGCCGATACTCATTGGAAGCATCTTAATCAGACTCTTAACTAATCCATAGTATTTAATACTTACAACCACATTACAACGTACTAGTATAGTTTATTTATTTATTTATTTTTATATTTTTTTGAAAGGACAACGTCCTATCAAACCCTAATACTTAACTTCCTAATATGTACTACGTGGGTAGTATTACATTAGTTAACTTTTCACAAGATATTTTCCAAAAATACTTCATAATAATATTTATTGCAATAATTCTATCTCTTAATTAATATCATATCAATATCTCAAAAGTATCAAATACAACTTTACAAGTATTTATCATTCAAGAGATTGCGATCTATTACGAAGTATTTTTTTTGAATAGCTATTACGAAGTACTTGTTATACATATAAACTAGCATCCACCAAATATTAACATACTTCACTTTGTACTTCGTAAAGACAACAATACGAGTCTAAATAAAATTGATAAAAATAAAATTGATAAACAATTTTAATGCAAAAATATTACAAAACTATCCCATAACGAATCTAAATAAACAAAACCAAATATCAATGGCGAAAAATAAAAAAGGCAATTTATCATTATCCCTAATAACAAAATCAGCAATACACAACACATCTTCATTTACAATACTTTGTTGAATAATTACGACTGTAATGAAGAATAAGAACTAATTATTTCCCTTAACCTTCGAAGCAACTTGACTCCTTAAACTCTCTAACGCAACCTTAAATCGCTCAAGATCATCCAAACCCATATCATCAATCGGCTGCGCAAGAACGTCCTCGTCCAATCGAGAAGTAGGAAAAGCACGACCAATTATTTCGTCTGCGTTCGGGTGTCCGAAAGAGTACGCCTTTCCTGCAGGAGAGAATGAAACAACCGCACACTCAACGCCGCACATTGAACACAATTCGCTTGCCTTCTTGAACAACCCGACACGGCGTTTCGAAAACGTAACTAGTTTCCTGGATTTGTTGTCGATCGGAATAATGTCGATTTTCCGTTTGCCTTTACCACTGACTTTTCCCACAGCAGCCATTGAAGAATTGAAGAACTCTACGTGTATACAATGAAAGAGAACTAGGAGATAATGAGGTAAACCCTAGTACTTAATTAGGTTTTTTTTTTTAAACGAAATACCTTAAAGGGAGAAAGCAGATGAATTGGGGGTGTATATATAGAATTTTTTTATTATTATTATTGAAACCGTGTATATAGAAATTATTAGGGGAGAGCATGGGACGGGTACCCGTTCCGATAACGTTATTGGTTCGGGTACCCGATAACCGTTAAGGCAAACCGATTCCCGAAACCGTTCCGATAAGGTTCGGGTACCCGTAAATTCGGATACCCGAAAATACGGGTACCCGAACTAAATATCCGAACCGAACCAATAAGCTGATTTTTTTTTGGGTCTTTTTATTTATTTAAAACCTACTTTGCAATTTGTTTTTAGATGCTTTTTAGTTTTTGCTAGTTTTTTTTTTACTTCCTATTTTTTGAACTATAACAATTGAACTTAAATACACAAATAACAAAAATAATTACAACTATCGCTGTCTTCCGCTTTGGCAACCTACCAGTCCCTGTCCTTGAGGCTGCTGCCTCCTCACCTCTCCTACTTGGCTGCCTGAACTCCTCCTTGTACCCACCTGCTTAATAATATTTTTGTCCAAACTTCCACCTGTTTTTCTAGTATTAATTATTGTTATTAGTACTATGATTTTTTTTGTAACAAATAACAGCCTAATAGGCTGATATTTAAACCTGAATACACATATAACACAGCACTCAACCCGATTACAAATGAACAAATACTTGATACAAACATACTGTTTCTTTTTTTAAAAAAAGTCCATAGTTAACAATAATAAACCAATACATAACAAAAAAAAAAGTTCATAGTTTATAGTTTTAAAACAAAAACAGTCCATAGTAATCATATTTCATAAAATACTCCAAGCCTTCAATGACTTCCGGCCTTCAATACAATCACCACCAACCTTCATGATTATAAGTTGTTGCCTCTAATCAATTAATCATCATCAACAAAGAGAGAGTGTTCCTCACCAAGAGATAACATTTCTTCAAAAAGAAAAAATTAAAAAAAAGTTAATGAATAATTAACAAGATAATGAGATTAAAAAAAAGAGAAAATATTTGAATGTTACCTGATTCAATTTTTTCCATATCTTCAAGTCTCTCCTCAAGTATAAGAGGACCTTGAGATGTACGTAACCAATCTTGTGCACAAATCAAGGCTTCAACCATCTTAGTTGAGAGTGAGCTGCGAAATGAATCAAGCACTCGACCACCGGTGCTAAAAGCTGATTCGGAAGCGACTGTTGATACGGGAATGGCAAGTACATCTCTAGCCATGAGAGCTATTGTTGGATACCTTTTACCATATTTTTTCCACCACCCCAAACAATCAAAGCTTTTTCCGGCGGGATTAACTTCTCCATCATCTTCTAAATACTTGGCCAACTCATTTTTCCCTTGTACTCCAACACATGAACCCACCTGCCTTTCAAACTCTAATTCCGCAACATCTACATCAGAATCCATATCTTCTACTTCCTCCGAAAAATCAGAAGTTTTAGGGAGAATAGACTCATTTGGAGGGTTTTCAGAAATATAAAGTTCATACATGTCATTCAGAGTTTGCATCACTTTATCACACAAGTACTTAACTTTTTCAGAATCATATTGTTGATTAATTGCCCATTTAGTATATCCCATTTTCCGCCTAGGATCAAGAATGTCAGCAATATACAATAAGAGATTCACATTATCAACATTTTCCCAATACTTGTCATGCTTTTTCTTCATTCCACTAGCCATTAAACTCACCCCCGCATCATTACTCAACATTTTTTTTTTTGATTAACACACTAATCCCAACAAGTTCTTGTAAATACACATTAGAGGTGATATACAACGAGCCAGAAACTCGTAGAGTAGCATCATAGAATATTTTAAGTAAAGGAAGAAAAGAGGCAACACGATCCCAATCACTAGGTTCAGGCACCCCGCCTGTCTTAAGTAACTCATACCTAAATTTACCACCATCTGAACATTCAAGAAAATCAAAAGCCCTACGATATGCCAAAGCACCTTCCAGCATTAAAAAAGTGGAATTCCACCTAGTATCCACATCTAAACAAAGAAAACGTTTTGACTCCAACTTTTCTTGTTTAACACAACTCATGAACTTTTGCAATCTAGCACCCGATGATCTTACATACCTAACAGCACAACGAATTCTTTTTATTGACACATCACTTTCTTTCAATCCTTCTTTAACGGTTAAACTTAATATGTGAGCACAACATCTCATGTGTAATAACCGACCACCCAAAACTAATGTCTTCCAACTTTCAAACCTTCTTTTCAAATATTGAATGCCAACATCATTTGAACTTGCATTATCTACAGTGACAGTCATTACTCTAGAAATACCCCATTCAAGTAGACACTTTTGGACAGATTTACCAATTGTTTCACCAGAATGACCAGCAATTATACAAAAGTTAATTATTTTATTTATGCAATTTCCAATTTTGGTCAATAAAGTGAGCGGTTAAACACATGTAATTCTTATTTTGGCAAGAAGTCCAAGTATCAGTGATGAGACTTATACGTGAAGTGCACTTACTAATAAAACTTTTCTAACTGTTTTTCTCATCCAAATAAATCCTATAACAATCTCTAGTCACTGTCCATCGAGAAGGAATAATGAAAAAGGGTTGCGTTACCTTCATAAAGTTGCGAAAACCTTCATGCTCCACCATTCTAAAAGACATTTCATCCATGATCACCATCTTTGCCAGAGCTCTCCTACTATCTTCTTGATTGAATTTCCACAGCTCAAGTCTACCTTTTTTTTTATCCACGAGATTCCCATCAAGAGTTTGTTGACTAAGGGACAATAGTTGCTGATTTTGATCAATGTTTGGGGGGTATTCCTTACACCGCTTTATGTGGTTCTTCATGCCGGAGGTACCTTGAAGTGATGCACAACCAATGAATGTATGACAATAGATACATTCAGCCTTGTTTTCTCCATCCTTCTTTATAAAATGCTCCCAATGAGGAGAGCGCCTTTTTCTAGATTTTTTTGAAGTTTCACTTAAGGGGGCAGCAGCATCAGCAGGTTCAGAAGGTTGGTTTGATTGATTTTGCTGGTCAAAGGGGTCATTATTTTCCGTCATTGGACAAGGGTCATACTCCCAAGGCTCGGGAGGAGGACTTGGAATTGGAGGATCTGGACTTGTAGCCGATGAGTCTTCCATATCCCCACTACTTCCAGATTCCATACACTCCTACAAATGAAAAAAAAAAACAAATAAGTTCAATCATGTATACACAAATAACAAGAATGAGTCATAGCTATATGAGGGTTGAAAGGGTGAACATCTAGGACATATGTCTATTAGAAACAAACAGGACAAAAACTTTTCCACGTCACACAAATACACAATCATAAAATCTCAGACAAGCAAGTAAAATAAAAAAAACTATTGGTACACCTACACCATATAATCACTCTGTGAGCCTTGCAGTACCTTAGGCAAGTATTATTGAAAATGAGTCCAATAGATGATGTACACAGCCACACAAGTTACTGTTAAACCAAATTCCAGCTGACGAATATTACTCAATTCTGTTAAACCAACATTGACAAATTAACCTGAGTAGAAGCAACTAGATAAATCATATTGTACTACATGATTATCTTATTGGACTACAATAAATCTTAAAACGTTTTCTTAAAATGCTTGTAATTAACTCATGTTACAATAAATCATATTGGACTACATGATTATCATGTACAACTCTATAGATGCTCAACACACAGGAAGCCATCACACAACACTATAGATGCTCAACAACATTAGTACACAGCAACTATAGATGCTTAGCAACATCACACAACAACATCACTCTGAATCCTTGTTTTTTCTCAACAACCTTATTTCCACATCAAAAACAGAAATCTCACCTTACTCACTCATCTAAATCTAACAGACACAACTTGACAAAAAATAATAAAAAAAAACCTCAATTCTGAAAACCATAATAAGTACCATTCCTCCCAAAAAAAACAAAAAAAAAAAAATTAATAGTACCACAATAAAAAATCAGGAAAAAAAACAATTACAAACCGAAAAAACCACAGATAGCCAGATACTATAAAATGTAAATTACCTCAACAGTGAAAGCTCAAAAGCCGCTTCAATGGAGAGCTGAAGTACGCTTCAATGGAGGAGATGAAGGAGTGAAAGCTCAGAGCCGCTTCAATGTAGGATATGAAGGAGTGAAAGCTCAGAGCCGCTTCAATGGAGAAGTCGAAGTACGCTTCAATGGAGGAGATGAAGGAGTATAGGCGTATAGCTCAGAAGCCGCTTCAATGGAGAAGTCGAAGTACGCAGAGCCCTAAATTGAATCTGCGATTTGTGAAATTAAAACAAGAGTTTAAGTTTAATTGAATTTAATCAATTCATTGCAAATAATTAGATCTGGCAAAGGGATAATTAGTTAATTACCTGAGGAAATTAGGAGATGAAGGAGTGAAAGCTCAGAGCCGCTTCAATGGAGGAGATGAAGGAGTGAATGGAGAATGGAGAATGGAGAATGGAGATTAGAGAACCAGAGGCAGAGACATTAGAGAAGAGGAGGAGAGAGAGAGGGATGGAGGCTGAGTGAAGTGAATGCCTGAGAAATGAGAAAAGAACGAAGTTTAGGGTTTTCACTTTTTTGTTCTTTATTTTCTGTTTCTTTTTTTCTAAAAAAAACTGACATTTTTCATTTGAGATTTCGAAAAAAAATATTTTCGGGACATTCGGGTACCCGAAACAGTGTTAACGGGTACCCGTTACCCGAACTGTTAAATTCTTATCGGTTCGGTTACCCGACCCGTTTTCTTTAAACGGTTCGGGTACCCAATTTTTCGGTTCGGTTACGGTTCGGTTTTTCGGGTTTTCGGTTTTTCGGATAGTTTTGCACAGCCCTAGAAATTATAGCACCGTTATAACTCTAACTATGGCGGTTAAAAATAAAAAATAAAAAAAAGAAAAGAAAAAAGAGAAATAATGTCTTTTTAAAATTATGATTTCCCGTTAAAAAATAAAAATGTGATTTTAAAAAGATTGAATCACAGGTTTGAGGGCCATTAAGGGGTTTGACGCAATGTATATAAAGCCTCATGGGTACGATATTGGGCTATCTCCTTCTCCAATTTAGGTGGATAATATTATGTAAGAATTAATTGTTTTGTTTGGTTTACCTTATTTTTGCGATCAGATTTAGTGAGGTCTGATTTGATCTAAATATCAAATTTGATCAAACTTTGACTTTAAATATACGATAATCCATACGGAAAAATATATCAAGTGGGGTACTGTTAGATTCGTAATAATGTATATTTTATTAATATGTGATTTTTAATAATTTTTTTCATCGCAAAATTAAAGATATTTAGCGATATAAAACTGCACAAAAAAATGATGATCTAATTTGAATTTATTTTTCCTGATATGAACTTATTTTTTCTGATCTGAACTTATTTTTCTGAAATAAGTAAAAATAAGTTGAACCAAAGAAGGCCTAAGAATTAGAAGGGAGGTACTAAAGCAAGCTAGAATAGTTGCACCACGACTTATAAAATGAACATATAGTAAAAAAAAGTATGAACATGTAAAAATAATGAATATTTAGTAATAAAAAATAAACATGTAATAGAAATGAAACTTTAGTATTAAAAAGTGAAAATGATCATATAAGTATATTAAAAATGACGCACGGCCATAAAAATGAACGTTAAGTTAAAAAAAAAAAATTATGAACACGTTATGAACATGTTAAAAAAATGAACAGTTAGTAATAAAAAAAATGAATACGTGAAAAAATATGAACATTTAATCTATATATTATACTAAAAGACAAGCGCCTCAATGTGAGGATGACAAATGTCACTTTCTCACTGGCTTATCTTATGTATAAAATATATCTATATAATTATTGTTTACATATTCAAGCATAGTTATTTTTGTTAAACTTTAAACAATAAAAGCAAGTTTCTATACATGTATATGATTTTCATGATTTCCTAACATAAATATTGATTTAATTTTTTTTATAATAAATATATACTTTCCAATACTTCAAATAATCCATAAAGTCTTTCCAATCTTTATTTATAGTCAATTTAAAGAATAATAACTAATTTGAAGCAATATGATTAAAGTGGCATAATTAAGGAACAAATATTTCGTATTTTGAAAGGCTAATATTTTTTTTATGAAAATTAAATAAAATCGATAGAATTTAGTTTGACGTCAATTATGAAATCAATACAAACATTTTAAAAAAAAATCAGATGAACAATAAAAGATTGTGCACCTATTATAAAATCTACCCTGTAATGAATGAAAGTTATTTATGCTTTATTGATAAAAGTTACCCAAAATAGACTACAAGTTATCCTAAGGGCCTGTTCTCTTCCGTTGAAATTCAGTTCAGTTCAGCTCAGTTCAGCTTAGTTCAGTTCAGTTCAGTTCAGTTCAGCTCTTAATTTACGTCTAATGATATTGCTAATGATATAAAGCCAAATTTCATTCTTTTAAGCTCTTATTACAACGACAACAATAACAACAACAACAACAACAACAACAACAACAACAACAACAACAATAATAATCATAATCATCATAATAATAATAATAATGATTATAATATTAACAATAATAATAATAATAATAATAATAATAATATTAACAACAACAATAATAATAATAATAGTAATAATAATAATAATAATAATAATAATAATAATAATATTAACAACAACAACAACAACAACAACAACAACAATAATAATAATAATAATAATAATAATCAATAAGTAATAAATAATAATAATAATCATCAATAAATAATGATAATAATAATAACAATAATAATTGAAATAATAATACTAATAATAATAATCAATAAATAATAATAATAATCATCAACAAATAATAATAATAATAATAATAACAATAATAATAATAATAATAATAATAATAATAATAATCAATAAGTAATAATAATAATCATCAATAATTAATAATAATAATAATATTAATAATAATAATAATATTATTATTATTATTAATAATATGTACATTTGTATATACACATATGTATAGTAATAAATAATCAATAAATAAACAAAGATCACTAATCCGTAGTTAAAAATCACTAATTAATAAGTTCAGTTCAGTTCAGTTTAGTTCAGTTCAGTTCAGCTCAGTTCAGCTCAGTTCAGTTCAGTTCAGTTCAGTTCAATTCAGCTCAGTTCTGTTCAGCTCAGTTCAGTTCAGTTTAGTTCAGTTCAGTTCAGTTCAGTTCAGTCAATCGGAACAGGCCCTAAATTCAATTCAATTCAAGTAATTGGATGAATACAAAAGTTTTTGATAAATATACAAAATAGTGTAAAAATTACTTTTATCGTTTGTTGTACTCCTTGACAAATATTGAATGCTGAGCCGAAATGTTGTCTTGGAAAAAAAAATACATAATCTTGAACATAAATTTAATTTTAATCGGCCTTTCATTTTCTATACAACGTCTTTTACAATGACCTTTTGTTTTTCTTGCAAAAAAAAAAAAAAAAAAAAAAAAAAAAAAAAAAAAAACTGTATCAATAACCAATCTAAACAAGAAGAATAAAAGTTAAATTGAATTAGACATTTGACGGAAAAGGGACAGATATAAAATGTATTATAACTATTACTCGTGTGTTTAAATTGTAATATTCGTAATAACAATGTTATTACTTATGAATTTAAAAATCGTGCATTACTCATGTACTATACTAGATATACAACAATCATGTGCAATAATTTATGTTGTTTTATACATAATAATACTTTTAACTATAATAGTATGTGTATATAATATAATATTTTTTATAATATAAAAAAGTATATGTATATAATATAATATTTTATAACACGTGTCCTCCATACCAAGTGTAGTCCCAATCATCACTGCACCAATTGGTTGTTGGTGTAGTGGTGACTGAGACTACACTAGGTAGGGAGGACCTGTGTTCGCTCCCCTGCAACAACAATCGGAAAGGGAATGGAACCTAATAACCTAGAACTGATCCTCAAATCTGGATTAGCCCAAAGGGTGAACCGGATAGAACACGCAAAACTCAATGCATATATGACGGGAATTAACTTATCCTTTATCTATCTTATACAAAAATCCAAAGTCTAAATTTTTTTTCAAAATATAATAATAACATTTGTAAATTTTTGTTAATATGAAAGATATAAACCTATCAAAATGTATATATAGTTAAATTGTTTAATAACTTATATTGAATGCATAGTTTTATTAAAATTATTTGCATGTAATCATTAAATGTGTTGGATGTTGTGTAGCTATGCAATGTCCAAAAATTTAGTTGAGCGACTTTGATTTAGTGACTGTACAGTAAAAAGATATTGACTTCGATCTTGAAACCTAATAGTCTAATGAATTCTAAATAGAAAAATTAAAACAAAAGGAAATGAAAATAGTAAATGGCTTTAAATATTGAAATAAACATAACCTTTTAAATCAATTTAGCGAAATCAAGAGACAATTTTAAGGCTTTTAAAATTAAATGGGGGAAAATATATGTAAAAAGAACATTTTTATATAGATAAATGTCCATGCACTATTATAAGAGTTTTGTTAACCTTTTTATAATTAAGGTAGGGATAAATCTTAGTAATATATACTCCGTATATTTTATTTATATAAAATTATCAGTATCCATACCTATATACGAAGTATTTGTGTTGTATACTATATTTAATCAGCTGTTGGTCATATATGTGACTATTATATAATATATAGTTTTTGGCACAATGGTTAACTTAGGAAAATATATGTTCTGGTTGGCCAAATATAAGGCTATTATTGTGTTTATAGATTTAATGAGTGCAACGGGTAAATAAAACATGTATATATTAGATTGATTGTAGCTACTGATGCGGATGGTATGATAAGAAAATTATAGTTTTTTCTCAACAGCAGATATAAATAAATTAGTCAACTTCTTATATAGCTATGTGGAGTATTATTCAATTATTTTTCAATTAATAGAATAACATTATAAAAAATTAAAAGAAATTCAAGTAACATAAAATACTATTCAAATAACGTTCCTTTAATTTTTTTTTATTGACCATTAGTAACCAAGTCCTTTAATAGTAAATGAATTACCTCTGTTTTTATTTTTATTTTTCCTACGGGTTTAATAATTTGATTTATAAACCGTGCATCGCACGGACACTATGCTAGTTTAGTATATTAAAAATACACATTTATCATACAATCATAGAATAGCTAGACCATACTGAATAAAATGAACATTTCACAAAAAAATATGAATACTTTTTTTTTTTAAAAAAAAAATGAACATTTAGTATTTAAAATGATCCGATCAAAAAAAAGTTACAAACATTTAGTATATTAAAAATGAATATGATTTTCACATATTCATATAGGTTCAAATTATTTATATATTAGTCACAAAAATAAAGATAACATAAAATGTTAAAATATGTTCATTTTTTTGACCTCAATGTTCACTTTTAGTGTATTAAATGTTCATTTTGCATTACATGTTCATTTTTAAAGTACTACCATACATGTTCATTTTTTTTAAAGAAAATTATACAAAAGTTCGATTGGAATTATTTTAGCTCTAAAAATTTAAATATCCACCTTAAATCTTATCTTGGTTCATCATAGAGATCGAAAACACAAAGTCTTATTTGTGGCTAGCTATATGGTGTGACCACTTCACATAATCACATATAAGGCAATTCATTAAGTAATAAGGGTCACAGTGATGAGCAAATGGGGTTACCTTAACGTATGTAAGTTACTTAAATGAAAAAAGGGGTTACTCTCTTAAATAAGTGGAGTTATTCTTTTATTTTTTTAAAAATAAAAGAATAAGGGTTACTCGAATGAGTAAATGGGGTTAATTGTGTTTCTAAATTACTTGATTTTACTCTTATAATGAATTTGAGTTACTACGAGGTTACTCTTACGGAAAATGAGGTTTTCTTCAGATTAATTTCAGTCCAGTTCAATTCAGTTTAGTTTAGTTAAGTTTAGTTTAACTCCTATTTATCTTCTCTCATAAACAATTCATTTCAGCTCTATTCAGTTTAGTTTAGCTCAGCTACAATCAGTTCAGTTTAGTATATCATAACAAACCCTTACTCTTATAAACCAATATAGCGTACAAAACTTCCCTCACGATTAAAAAATTTGATAGATTAAGAATCAAAAATAAAAATTGATAGGAATAAACAATTTTATAACATTCACATTAAAAAAAAAAAAACTCAAAGTTACCTCACGATTCACAATTACGACGAAGATGATGACGATGAAGAATGTTGCATGTGACGAATTGGAGAATGCTTGAAGTAGAAAGATAAAGAAGAATAATGATTAAAGGAAATTATGAAAGTGCATTCACGTGTTTATTTTTATAGAGATAATAAAGGAGAGAGAAAGTTTCAAAATGAGAATAAAACAGAGGAGAGAGAAAAATAATTGAAGTAAGAAAAGAGAAGAGAGAGAGTTAAGATATAAGGAAAGAAAATAAAAATGTATGTTCATTCTTGAAGTAATATATCTTCATATATATGCAGGAATGCAGCTACTCAGCTAGTATAGCTAGCTTAGCTACACAAGGGTGTAACTAAGAATTTGCGCCAAAGTAAGCTTACATTGTGTTTTGAGGTTACAAGTTCAAGCTCTACCAGCTACATTGCATAAAAAAAAATTAATGATCGATTTAATAATAAAAGATTATGTTTCAAAAAAAATCCAAATTTGAGACAAAAAAAAATTATTAGCTGAAAAGTTGAAATGATTGGCTTATTTATGTAGATTTTTTTTTTAATTTTTATATATATTTTTTTTATCTTTCTTATTAATTGATTGTTTAAAATTTTGGAAAACCATTAGATTAAATGTTTAAATTTTGGAAAACTATGTTATGTAATCGATTCTGCTTTCACTCTTTTGAAGGGGTTGTAAATTTGTAATAGCTAGTAGGTGAAAGCTAAGGGCCTGTTCACATTTACAGAACTGAACTGAACTGAACTGATTATATTGGAGCTTAATTGAACTGAACTGAGCTGAAAATGAGAGAGGGAAATTAGGAGCTAAATTGAATTGATTGGAGTTGAACTAAACTGAACTAAACTGATTAGAGCTGAAGTGAACTGAACTGAAATTAACTAAATGTGAACAAGCCATAATAGGTGCGGGAATTTTTGATGGAAAATCTTTTTTTTTTTGTTTTGTTTTGTTTTTAGGGGCAATTTAAGTTGTTGAGGGTAAAAATACCCCGTACGCGTGGACAAGTCCCGTAGCGACACGTGGCCCAGTTAGAGGGTGACACGTGTCACTATGGGAAGATGCCACGCATTCAGCTTAAAAGCACTCAAGAGCTCAGGCCAATTCTATAGCGACACGTGGCCCAATGAGAGGGTGACACGTGTCGCTACAGGAAGATGCCACGTGTTTAGGGCATATATAACCCCTGAAATCAGCACGCAAAAGAGGCCTAATTACATCAGGGCCCAAATACCGAGAGATATCATTGAAAGCCGCAAAGCGGCGCCCCCAAAACAACACGTGGCGTTCTCCGATTGCGCAGCCAATCACGTCACGCAATTTTAGGGTACAAACCCTAAAAAGGACACAAGCTCCACCCCTATAAATAATCCAATCATTTATGATGGGAGGGGTGGATTAAGACATTACAAGAAAAAGAGCATTAATAGCTCCAACTTCTCTCTACTTTCTCTCTCTAGCCTTTTCCGTTTTCGATCACTGACTTGATCGTCGGAGGCGAATATTCCGACAACAAAATATTTGTTGTTTTGTAGGTGTCTCAGTCTCGTTGCCAGAAGAGCGTGACCAATACCCGAGGAAATCCAAAAAACACCCGAAACATTTGGCGCCGTTTGTGGAGATACTCGTCCGTTATGGAAATAGACGTTCAGACACCTAATCCATGCGAGGACGGACATGTAGAGGATATAATCCCTACAATCCATACCAGCGATCCGCTGATTGCCACATTTCAAGAAGCGGATGACCCTCCTGTTACCGCAGCCTCTCTGAAGGCCGCACTCAACAAGCTCCGGAAAGAGTTTGAGAGCAACAGAGCCTCTACCTCTAGGCAGCCGCCCAGGAGAGAGGGGGAGAGGGCTCCAAAGAAATCACAAAGCAAAGCGGCTAATGCAACGGACGCTGGGAACACCCCATTTCGTAGGCCAACTAGAAGGTTCCCTAGGGTATCGCGGACAAATTTCTCTGATCTGTTGGCGAAAACACAGTCGGTTGGGGGGAGGAGTAGGCAGCCTCGAAGAGAAGAGCCTGAGCTGTCTAGACGATGGAAGGACGCAAGGGATTACCTTCGGCATAAGCAGCGGGAACGTGCCGCTTACTCGGACACGACCTCAACCCCAACTATGCCGGATGATTTTTCAAATCATTCTCTCTCCCAGTATACCAATACGGCCATCTCTAGCAGAAGTCAAGCTGTCCGCACTCCAACTCCTATTCCAGTTGTCCGCACTCCAACTCTTAATCCAGTTCAATCACTTCAATATCAACCTCCCTAGGGTTTCAATGGCTTGATGCAGCTAAATCCCCAAGTCTTCGGACAATATGGGCCATACGGACAGACGTACGGTCAGGCTCCCTACCTGGCTGGACCGTCCGTGCAGCCACAACCAATTGACTGGCACATGCGCCTGCTGACTCTGGGAGATAAGCCGCCTCCGTTTTCGCAAGATATTTTAACTTCCCCTCAGCCGCCGAAGGTGAAGAGTGTACTTTTGGGAGCTTATGATGGTACGGGAAACCCAGAAGAACACATCACCTCGTACAGAAACTTGATGTACTTGCAAAGTGTAGATGATGCTACCTGGTGCAAATGCTTTCCGGCCACTTTGAAGGGTGTGGCACATGATTGGTTCAATAGCCTCCCGGCCGGATGTATCAATTGCTTCACTACTCTTAGTTTGCTGTTTGTGGGAAATTTTTCATACAATATATCGCCTCGAAAGACTAGCCTTAATTTGGCAACAATTGTTCAAGGGAAGAATGAGGGCCTACGGCCGTACGTCTAGCGATTTAACCAAGAAAAAGCCCAAATTCATAATCTGCCGGATGAAATGGCTTACTCTGAATTTCTCCGGGGATTAAGGCATAATGGTTTTAAATTTGACCTGGTAAGGAAAAAGATTCGGACATACGCAGGTGTTTTGCGAGAAGCCGAAGCTTATATTGAAGCGGCGGACTTTTGTTCGCTCACAAAATCAGAAGTGCCGGCCATGGGGGCTGAGAAGAAACAATCTTCTCACCAAGACTCGGCCGACCAAAAGAAAGAAGGAAAAAAGATAAAAGAATTCTGGGTGGCCGATGGCCAACCGCAGAAGTCCAAGAAGGTCAAGACATATGAGCCCCAGTTTGAGTTCAACAAGGACTGTTACTCCATCTTGATGGAAATCAAGGATAAGTTTGAGTTTGAAAAGCCACAGCCAGTGAGAGGACCGACTCAGTACAGGAACAAGAACAAGTACTGTCATTACCACAAGGACGTGGGACATGACACGAACGATTGCATCAATTTAAAGAGATTGTTGGACAAGCTAGACGAGAAGGGCATGCTGAACTCTTATGTGATGAAGTCCAAATTCACATACACACGGACAAACAACACGTCCGAGAAGAGGCAGAAAAATGATAAGAACAAAGACAAGGAAGATGATGGGAATAGCACTGATTCAGGCTTTGTGGTCGTGATATCAGGAGGTTTCACCTCAGGCGTCCCAACTATGAAAGGGATCAAGCAGGATGCCTGGAACTTGGGAAAGGTGATGCAAGAGGATGCAGTAAAGGCCGAACCCTTTCCGAAAGTAATCATCAGCGAGGATGACCGGGGGGAGGTCAAAGCCTTGCACAATGATCCTATGGTATTCATTATGAAAATAGGCAATTTGAAGGTCGGGCGAATATTGATTGATACGGGTAGCTCGGCTGACATCATCAGCCTGGCCGCCTAGAAGAATCTAAGCTTCCCAGAGGATTCTCTTCAGGACATCACTCACCCGTTGGTAGGATTTGGGGGGAATGTTATCCACCCGGTTGGGCGGATAGACCTACCCGTCCGCTTTGGGCAAAAAGGGGAAGGAAGAGATATGGTTGTCCGCTTCCTGGTTGTAATAGAACTGACTGGATATAATGTCATACTTGGTCGTCCTACACTGAATGCAGCCAAAGCAGTCATTGTACCTCATCTAATGCTGCTAAAGTTCGAGAGGGAGGACGAAAAAATTGGGACAATCCAAGGGAGTCAGAAAATGGCTAAGGAATTTAATCAATTGGCCGTTAAGCCTACAACACGCGGACTAAAAGCGTCCGAGCCAAAAGAAGAAGGAACCTCACTCCCAGCATACCAGGTCGGCCAGAAGCGTAAGGAGGCCAAGATAGAGCAAGCATATCAGCTAATGACTGTCGGTCGGCCAGAAGAGTTAAGGCCCCAGCCGGCTGGCAATCACCAAGATATAGTGCTTGACCCCGATCAACCAGGTTTGACGGTCAGTGTAGGCACTATAGCTTTGGGTATTCTTGGGGATGAGTTAGTTCAACTGTTGAGAGAATTCAAAGATGTATTTTCATTCGACGTTGGTGAGATGCTAGGATTAAGTCCTGACCTGGCCGTTCATAAGCTGGCTGTGAACCCAGCCGTTAAACCCGTTCGCTAGAAGAAAAGAAATCATGGAGAAGAGAGGAATAAGGCGACCGCAGCTAAGGTAAAAAAGATGCTGGACGCCAGTTTCATTCGGCAATGTTATTACCCAGACTGGGTAGCCAATGTAGTTCTCGTGAAGAAGCCGAATAAAACTTGGAGAATGTGTGTGGATTACACCGATCTGAACAAGGCATGCCCTAAGGATAGATTTCCCTAGCCCGAAATCGACCGCCTAGTTGATTCAACGGCCGGGCATGCCCTGATGAGTTTCAAGGACGCATACTCTGGATTCCATCAAATTCCCTCATGGGAAGAAGATCAAGAGAAAACAGCGTTCGTATCTGAGCAGGGGTTCACTGTTACAAAGTTATTCCATTTGGCCTCAAGAATGCCCCAGCTACCTTTCAACGACTTGTTAATATAGTCTTCAAAGATCAGCTCGGCCGGAATATGGAGGCGTACATCGATGACATGATTTTCAAGTCAAAAGAGTCGACCGACCACTTGAAGGATCTGCGAGAAACTTTTACCGAACTCAGGCGGCATAAGATGATGTTAAATCCAAAGAAATGTGTCTTTGGTGTTGAGTCCGGTAAATTTCTCGGATTTTTGATTGACCAACGTGGAATTGAGGCCAACCCTGAATAGATTCAAGCTGTCCTGGACATGAAGTCACCAAGGACGATTAAGGAAGTACAGGGACTGACCGGCTGTTTAACAGCACTTGGTAGATTTCTGTCAAGGTCAGGGGATAAGTGCCGTTATTTCTTTCAAACCATCAAGAAGAAAGCCATGTTTGAGTGGACAGAAGAGGCTGAGGAAGCGTTCGTACATCTAAAAAGCCACCTTCATATATTACCTCGGCTCGTTAGTCCACTTAAGAATGAGAAGCTATTCATCTATCTCGCCATCTCCGAACACTCTCTAAGTGCCGTCCTGCTTGCTGAAAGGGTTGGCCACCAGATCCCAGTCTATTTTATCAGTCATGTAGTTCACAATGCCGATATTAAGTACCCCCCCTATTGAAAAATTTGTCCTAGAACTTTATATGGCATCAAAGAAGCTACGACCGTACTTCTTGGTACATTCAATTGTGGTCTACACAGACCAACCTCTGAAGAAGCCATTTACAACCTTAGAGGCCAGTGGCCGTATGCTCAAGTGGGCCTTGGAAATGAGAGGCTTTGACATTACGTTTGAGCCAAGAAAAACAATCAAGGGACAAGCCTTTGCAGATTTTTTAGCTGAGATGACTCGGCCTGATCTTCAGCCGGTCGGAGACCAGGTCTGGAAAGTGTTTGTGGGCGGTAGTGCAACAGCTATCGGGTGTGGCGCAGGTATCATATGTCAGTCTCCCGAGGGAGATAAGTTTAAGTATGCTATGAGATTTCAGTTCCAAGCCTCTAATAATGAGGCCGAGTATGAAGCTCTCCTGGCCGGCCTTATAATGTGTAAGGCGGCAGGAGCAACAAAAGTGGATGTAAGCTCGGACTCCCTACTTGTAGTCGGCCAGGTGAACGGAGACTTTGAGGCAAGGGAGCCGACTATGATGAAATACTTGAAGATTGTCAAGGAGGAGGCCAAGGGCCTAGATCATTTTACTCTACAACAAGTTCCTCGTTCGTCTAATCATCAGGTGGACGCCCTCTCTAAATTAGCATCCTCGGCATCATGTGACACCCCTAGATCAGTATTTTGGGAGGTAAAGGAAAGAAGGAGTATTGATGCCGAGCCAATACAAATCATTGATAGAAGCTCCACTTGGATGGACGGGATCATTTCTTATTTAAGGGATGGATTACTTCCGGCCGATCCTAAGGAGAGCTGGCTGATGAAGAAAAGAGTGGCCTGGTTCGAAATGAAGCAGGGGGAGTTGTTTAAAAAGACATTTGTGAAGCCGTACCTGAAGTGTATTACTCCTGAGAAGGGGCATGATGTCCTGGACGACCTCCACCAAGGGCAGTGCGGCTCCCATATTGGAGGGCGAGCCTTGGCTGAAAAGGCTACCCATCTGGGGTACTACTGGCTGAGCTTAAAGTTGGACGCCATGAAAATGGTGAAAAAAGTGACAATTGATAGAGATTTGCAACCTTGATCCATCGCCCTGCTAACAATTTGTCAGCCATAAGTAGTCCGCTCCCCTTTTCAAAATGGGGGATGGATATCTTAGGACCGTACACGCCAGCATCTGGTCAAAGGCGTTATGTGTTTGTAGCAGTAGACTACTTCACAAAATGGGTGGAGGCCGAGGCTGTCTGGGGCATCAAGTGGACGGATGTTTCAGCCTTCATATGGAAGAGTATCATTACATGTTTTGGCGTTCCTCGGTCTATGGTGTTCGACAATGGACCCCAGTTTGAAACGCCTCAACTCAAGGAATGGTTGGAAGACCAGGCATAGCTCATTGCTTTGCTCCGGTCGGCCGACCACAAGCCAATGGTCAGGTAGAAGCATACAACAAGTTGATCTCCAAAGATATCAATCGCAAACTTGAAAAGGTAGGCGGTCTATGGGCTGATGAGTTGGTCAATGTATTGTGGTCCATACGAACAACGACCAAGAGCTCCACAGGGGAAACCCCATTCTTTTTGGTATACGATGCTGAGGCTGTTCTCCCAATTAAGATGTATGAGCCCACTCTTAGAGTGATGTTATATGATGAAGCAGCCAATTGGGAGGCCATGAAGACTGCCCTAGACTTCCTTCTAGAAGCTAGGGGCAATGCGGCGCTTAGGCACGAAATTTATCGCCTAAGGATTACAAGAGCATACAATCGCCGAGTGTCAAAGCGTCCGCTAAAAATGGGAGATCTAGTCTTAAGGAAAATGGAGGTTGTGGTTCGGGAAAATGAAGATGGAAAACTGACCCCAAACTGGGAAGGGCTGTATCGAATCAGTGAAGAAGTCCGAGATGGTACTTACCGTCTCGAAGCCATGAATGGTTGTCCGATTCCACGTACATGGAACGCTGACAACCTGAAGAAATATTTTGTTTCAGTATTTTCTTAATACTTAGGCCATGTTTGGTAATTGGCTTTTTAATGGCTTTTTGGTTAGCTTTTGGCTTTTGGCTTTTTAAGGTGGTCAAACAACCAAAAAATGTGTTTGGTAATTGGCTTTTTAGTCAGCGAAAAAGCTGGCTTTTAAGCCAAAATGAAAAAGCTGCTTTGAGTAGCTTTTTTGTTGGCTTTAGGCTTGTTGGCCCACAAATTATCTAATAAACAGCCAACAACCACCAATTAATTTACCAAACACTTTTGTAAACAACCAACTTAAACAGCCAATTTCAAAAGCCATTATAAACAACCAAACATTCCAGCTGGTCAAACAAGCCAAGTGAACCAGCCAACAGCCAACCGCCAACAACCATTTGCCAAACAAGGCCTTAGCCAAAAAGCTGTATATACAGCTAGGTTTGTTGACCGAGCAATGTAATTAAAGTCGTACGGCCACAACAATGTAATTTTGACAAATTAATGAAAAGTCAAACATTTTTATATTATTTTCCATTCTACTTATGCTTATTTGCACTTTCATAGTCTAAGCAGAAACGCCGCGTGAAACTTGTAACTAGGTTGCTTGCAACACAGCAAACCGGTAGTAAAAAAAATGAGTGACTTGACCTTAAGTAACATGTATACGTCCGTTCCTCATTTAGACAGACGGAAAAGGTAAGGTATCCTATGTATCCCCTCTAATGGGGCAAGGGCATACCTAGGAATTCTAGCCCAGCCAAACTTAGAAATTTTAAGTTGAGATAATACTTGAAATTTTTGAGCATGTCCGAGCAATAGTTTCAACGGACAACTCGCATAAAGCCAATCAAACGGCCGAATAATATGTTGATTCGGCGTATCACCTAGTCCAAAGGCAATCATTACTATGATTTGATTAACTTACTAGTAGTCATACCCCTCAAGGTATAAACTCTACCAAGTCAATCAAACCATTCAAAATATAGACTAGGCGAACGCTGAATAAAGGGGCATACCCCCCCCCCCATTGTACAAAAACGAAAAAACATGCTAAAAGTATGAAAAATTTGCTAAGTATGAAATAAATGAAAAGAAGATCTTGAATTAATTAAAGGTCGCTCAAAGGGTGGCTAAATGTCTTACAAAAACCGCTTAAAAAGGCGGCAAATAAGGAAAATAAAAATTGGTTAAAAAAGGCAGAACAAAGAGCTGATATCATGGGGCGGCTGGGGCTCTAAGAAGCTGGATCCTTGCCTTGAACGGGCTCTTGAGAGGCAGGAATGGACGCGTCCTCAGCAGGCGTCTCCTTGCTCTCCTCCTCGCCATCATTATCGGCT